CCAAACAATGACGTCATGAAAAATCTTCCGCAAGAAATGCACACATGAAGAGTAAGGAAACACACCAGTGTGAGACATGTGTATGAAAGTGTTGAAAAATGCTAAATATATGATGGAGTCCTGCAGCCACGTCCTACTACGTCCTACTACGTCCAGCTTCAACTACGTCTGCAGCTGCGCTCCGAACTGAGTTCGTGCGAAGCGTAATTTTAAAGTGTATTAGTTTAGAATTTGGCGGCTTTGCCTGTCAATCCTCTGACGTGCACGAAGCCGCCGAGTCACGTGATCACATCCGGCTCCGGAAAGCCTACAAGTTTCAACTGTCATTTGCTCGGCGCGTCTCGGTTGCCATGGTTGCGCGCTGTGACAACCAATGAGGGACTTATTCACGGGCGGCGATGGGGTGCCATACTCTTTTTAAGGTAGAGTAGCGGCTGCTGGGGTAAAGTCGCGGCGAATCTTGGATGGCGATATCGACGTAAACGCATGCCGCGGGTGCAGAAACGCTGCAGAACACGTGCGAAGGTTGGAAAACTGAAGCCCGGTTCCGCCATGGATGAACGCGAATACGTATTGAAAGCATGGGCATGGCATATCGATCGAGTCAGTCTTTCGGTTTCAACGCATTGAATGAGCTTGATTTCGGCAGAAACCGCCCTGCGGAAGCCACCGCGCGCCGCGCCGCACTTTTGCTGTCGTTTCGTCGGCGCGTCGGCTGGCCAGCACGCGCGCCTGTTTTTGTTGCCGGTCAGCTGAAGGAGGGAGCAGGGGCGTTCCCAGCATTATGGCTCCAGGTGGACGGAAGAGCGGGATCCCCGATCAGCTGGGCCTACAACCGGCGTTGGCGGGCAGGGAAGGGAGGGGGAGGGACGAATGGGTCCCCGCGTGTGTTTTGTCTACCGCGGACGCTTGGTACTTGATGACCAATATTAAAGCGGCATGTTTGAGTGAAAAAACTTAATTACAATGATGATGATGGCGATTATGATAATGACGACGAAACTAAATGGTGAAATCCGGAAAACTCTTGACGGGACATGCAATTGGAAACTGTGCAAAATATGGAAAAATATCAGCGCGTGAAGAAGTTCAAGCGCATGACTTGGATGCAAATACTCCGATAGGTAGCATTAAAACAAGGCACTCAGTGCACTAATGTGTCCAACAGCAGCATCATTCGAAATCAAATAAATTAATGCGTTTTGCCTTGATGCCATCAAAATGATATGCTGGCTTGCCAAATTATTTGTTATACTTTTCACGCTGCACCATTTACACACAGTTTTTGATAATGAATGAATAAAACATAATAATTCACTCTCAACCTATTAAGCCGGCATCCCACACGCACGTGGGCCTCTAACCAAGTAACATCTGCAAGGTGTGCTCTTGTTCCTTTGTCCGCATACATGTGTGCAACAACAGGTGAAATTTCCATTTAACACTATATCATATTTCCTTCGTCTTCCGTTGGTTGGTGCCTTTTCATAATTTCTATCTTTTCCAAGCGGCCATTGGACGCTCGGCCTTCAGCTGCTCACCACGTCTGCGCGGTCATCCATTTTTGTAGTCGCTATTACGCTATCGTCGGAAAAGCATCTACAAAAGTCAGGATGTGCCAGTACGCGGAGATTAATGTGAATGTCGCTGCGGAGGACATGTATTATAATGGTGTAACGGTGAGTGTACTAAATATTGTAAAGGTAATTGTGAAAAACATTGCAATTGTAATGGTAGGAAGTATTTTGATTGTAAGAAGTATTGCAATTGTAATGGTAAGAAGCCTTGTGACTGCAGTTATAATATGACAACAAAATCGCATTATTCGAAGCGTGCCTGATGCCAGCGCTGCGCTGTGTTCCACTGCGTCATACCGCGTTTCTCCCCGTCTCTCACTCCGCCTGCCGCTACTGAGCCCAGCGATGTCTGCCACCTCCGCGCCCCCCGACAGCCGCGCCTGGACGCGCCCGTGGCGCGGGCCTGACGCCTGGTTACCGCACCACCGTGGACAGAGAGATTAGAGGCGTGGCGACAGATGGTGCGGGAGGCGACCGGAAACAGCGCTCCGCGGTCGTGCAGGGAAACCATGCGCCGTGGACGGGCCGCCAACGCGGCACGCTCCCGTGGTGCCCGCCCACGGCGCGTGCGCACCGGGTCTAGCGCAACGCCGCTCATCGCTTGAAGTGTGCGCGCACAGCGCGCCGGTCACGGGCGTGCAAGCAGAAGAGAGCGGAGGGGGGGGGGGGGGTGGCCTTCACCTAGCTGAGATCTCGGTGATGCATGGAGAGACACTGACCGCCGTCAACGTCATTGGGGCTTTACGACGCACTCAGCTGGTGAAACTATGAGGCGTCACCCGCCTCTCACCCTGGCAGGAGGAGCGGGCCCGCGGGGAATCGGACCCCGTACCTCCTGTTAAAGGACACTGATCAAAACCCGTTCCCGCCGGCTGCGGTTTTTGGTAGTCCGTGTGCACCCAGCGTGGGATACTCCCCACGGAAGTGGTCTGAAGCCGAAAGGGCTGATTTCCACGCCTTCACAAACAGGGTACCAATCGCTGTTACCCGACATATGCAGCTGCCATTTCGAGCCCAAAAGGCGAGTCAAAACTGTTACCAGCGTTGTATCAGCTCCAGTATGACCGCTCATGGTGTACTTTCCTATGTCGTTGGGGCGGGGGGGGGGGGGGGCGCAGCCCTTTCCCAGCTTTGAAAAGAAAGTGAGTCAAATGTGGCGAGAACCCCGTTTCTGTACCGTTATTAGATATAGTCACTTATCTCTTCAAAATATCTTGCTTAACTACACGTCTGTTGCCATACTCAGCTGGCAGGTAGCCAGTCACGGCAAAAAAACATTTAAGCAGTTCTTGCTTACCAATTTGAAGCATCTTATAATATATCTTACCAAATATATTTCATGCCAAGACTGGACAACAAATATTTGGTATCGCCAATAAACACCACTAACGTAAATGCTGATGAACAAAAAGGGCTTTTTAAAGTGATAGATAATGAGTCCGATGCAAATGATCAACAACGTCACAATATGGAAAAGCAGTATTGAGGCCTTCAGGACGAATTCTATGACGTTATTTTACAATCCTGATCGCACACGTCTACCTGGTCTGCGCCAGTGTGCAATGCATCCCAAAGGGTTACAGTCTCCGTTGAAAAAGCTGTCAGAAAAACTGTAAAACTTCAGCTGCCCGCTGATTCTGTGATGACTAATAACAGAGCGCACTGGCATCTGTCAAAAATAGAAATATTCTACGTCAGTGATGGGTGCCAAGCTCAAGAGGCGGAAAGCACTGTCGGATGTATCATGTGGTGATGATGATGGAGAATCTTCCTCTTTTTACGGTTGTGTTTGACCCATGGTCTTTTCTCACCTGGGCTCCGTCATCTCAGATCGAACGCGTTTAAGACTATGTTACTTCTGGCAGTGAATAACTGCCGCGCTGTAGTGACATGTCCAAGTGCGGGTGGGCTTTGCAAGTAATCTGCCATTTTGTATGCATGAGCTAGCACTGGAGCTTAAAAGCTGCATATGAAAACGACTTTGTAAGATAACACCAACTAACTTCTCTGAAAAACAATGTCTTTTAAAGATAATTTTAATCTCAACCAACGTGCTACTAAAAGAACATCCGCCAAATTGATAATTTAAGCACGCGAAAAAGACATATTTGTCCTGTATGAAAGGTGTTGCAGAGCACAGCAGCGAAATCCAACACAATGGATATCCCATCAATCCATTTCAGTATTACGTTTGATGGTCTCCGTTTCGTACAGTCGTTCCCTGCACAGTCAGTCTGTGTTCTACCCTTCCCTCACCCCCCCCCCCCCTCTCCAATTTAACGGTGCTGTCGTTCTTTCCAAACTCCCGCATTGGAGATCGCTTTTGATCGCTTTTAGATATCATCTGTTATTTAACTAATTATTTGGTATGTGTGAAAGTAGAGCAGTAAATGAATGTGAACACAGCCATGTTGGATTATTGTCGACGTCGGCCTTTCTGACGAGATCTGCTGCTTTCGGACGAGATCTGGGCTGGCTTCATCACGGCATAGTCTACAGCAGGCATATATATCTGCTTAATATGTGCCTGCCAATTTTAATGCGCTGGTACATAGATGCTCCACATGGCGCTTCAGAACCTTATTTGGACCATCAGCCAATCATCAGTGAAGCGCACGTGATATTGTCCATTGTTATGGCACGGCACACGCTGGCATGAAAAACGTATAACCGCAATAAGTTTCATGTTACGACAGAGGGCTAAGAAGGGCTTGAATATAACTGCAGCCATAGCAAGCATGCCGCTGTTGCACTGCTCATTTCCAGTTGTTCAGTCACTGGCTGAGATACAAGCCGGCGCATAGGTGGAATTTAACAACACCAACAAATACAAAAATACTGAGCACGCAAGTGAGCTTCGTATCCCAGTCCTAAATTTCACTTTCCAAAATGCTGGGCACGGGGGTGCTTCACCTATGACATCTTACCCTGGATCCGTGAGTCCAGGTCCGTGTCAGTACTCCAAAGCAAGCCAAAGCCAAAATAGCAACACGTGCTCTCCAGCACATATTTCGAGCTATCCCGAAATGCTTGACGGTCGTCACGGTTTGCAATGCTTGTGCGCGTGTCCTGGTGGTCCGGTGATCAGTATTTGCTAGCGGCAGTGCCGAGACCAGAGGGATCGTTCTTCCGGGAGTCTACTTTGCGTTAATGCACGTGGCTGACCTAACCAGTGGCTGCAACATCCTTGCGCTCAGATTTCGGAGGCAGCAAATCAGAGATTACACCAGGAGAGCAGCACACTTCAGCTGAGCTTGTCCGCAATTGTGAGGGCAGATGCGCAAATAATTCGATTTGCTTTGCCGCGGGTATAACGAAATGTGTTGTGTGTACGTCAGATGCTGAGCCCGCACAGGTACAGTCGGTCTGTCTGGGTGCAGACTGGGTGTGACTGTCGGGCGCGGGCTGGAAGTCTGGACTCACCTTCATGGCTGATCCTCTCTGGGGACGGGTGCTGCTACGAATGCGTTGTCAACGGCACTTACTATCACTTTTGTTGAGCGGCGCCTTGTGCGTGCGACACCGGTGGCGCCTGGCGGCAGCTTAGCGAAACACCGTCATGACTCGAGCCATCGCACGAGCCGGTGAGGAAAAAGGTGATTTCATGACCGCCGCCTCAGTACCCGATTTACCAAACAACCCTCTACATATCTTCATATAGCCTTCAGGAAAGAACACAAGTGGGAAATCAGTTCGCCGCTCAACTCAAACGACCTCGAAAGTACTTTTCAATAATGGGGAAATTTGCGTCTTCCAGAATTGCAAGATGTTGTTCGGATTGCGCGATACCATGATTTGCGCAACATGATTGGCCGCGTGATGTGGTCGGGACGTGTAACAACCTCTCACCTTCCTCACCTTGCACAACATATTGTGCCGAGGAAGCAAGGCTATTTGCATTTTTGCCCATTTCGCCAAGTTGCTGAGGCGTCTAAAAGCCTGTTAGACCAAAGGGCTGACGGGCAGCGATAGGGATGATTCTGACGTCAGCCTTTGGGGGTTTCGATGGGTAAATGCGCGTTTTTCACTTACTATCGTATCCTTCGCAACTGTCTGAACATCTCGCTGCTGTGAAGTGCACGTAACAGCGAGCGAGAAGAACCAACGAGGAGCGTGGTCACACGTCCACAAACGCCGTTCGTTTCAGACGTGTCGTGTGTCAGTGTCTCCGTCGTCGTCCTCGGGTCGCCGCAGAGGCATGACCCGAAGGCGAAAGAGACACCGAGCCATCATCCGACCAGGATGAGTGCCCAATTAATTCGTGGCCGCCGACGCAACCTGATAAGAGGGCTGGTGTATGAAGTGAGGGGCGGCCTGCTGATGGATGACGTTGCCAGTAAACGGCCCTGGCCTGTCCGCCAGGCCCGGTCTCTCTGAACCGTCTGCGCACACCAAGAGGCGTTTGTCCAGAATCGGAACTTTACACCAGGGGTCAGGCAAAAGTTAGACGTTTGGGAGTATATTTGATAGGATACAATAGGCTACACCCGCCGATAGAATACAATAGGATACGCCCGCCGATAGGATATAGTAGCATATGCCGTATCATGATCATCCACGAATAAGCAAGTGCGAGCGACAGCAGTATGGGAAGGGAGAGAGAGTCGATTATTTGACCAAAAATGTAACTAGACCAAGCGCAGGATACATCAAATTATGATGAGTTGGGATTAAGGGGGTCTCGACGGCAAACGGTCATGCAGCGTCCATCAGGATACGTTAAAAGAGCCGTACCATGCCAGTTTTATATATTGCAAAGCCTAAGAAAAAACAACAATCTAAATAGCTACTCAAAATCAAATACCGGAAAATCTCATAGCTCGATTTTCCAAGCAAGTGCCACAAGTGATAAACCACCCATGACAGGTACGATGCACTGGCAAAACGGGTTGGTAAAATGGACAATTTTGCTCACACAAGGCCCACAGAAATTAACAGAAATATACATCTGAGCAGTCGAAGCGTAATCTGATTTTATTGGGCAGCAGTCGGATGAGAGCTTGACATCATACACTGCTGATATTAATGAGAGACCAAAAATCAGTCAAATGCGAACTAGGCCGGCAACGCTTCGTTCACGATGTCAGGATGCAAACAGCTATTGGTTCAGATCTTTTGAAAGTTCTTGAATCTGACATGTTAGTATGCACAAGGCGGCCATGCCGTGGCATGCTTAGGTCCACGTGCTCTGTGTGTGGGCGAAAACATAAATGCCTTGCCCATACGCAGTTATTGTCATGAGTGTCGTGGGCATGCAAAAAGAAAACATGCCAGGCCACGAACGCATCCGCAAACATTCTTGAAAAATCTTGGTACGCTGCGATCATGCATCTTGGTATATTTAAGCCTGCACTAATCGATGCATTTGATACAGGCAGCCGTGATAACAAAATCCCCTACCTCAGATCCTTTTTTATTTTCAATGCGTCTGACATTTTTTCCAAAACGTAAATGGTCAACAAAGCATGTTAGTTCGTTTTACTTCATCTCTATCCGTTTGGACGATCTGGGTATTACGATCACGGCTTGTCACCTAGACGGCAGCCTGTCGCAATGATTCCGGTTTAGAATGTAACGTCATTAATCTTTGGATGTCTGTCTCAGAGCTGCAGCAAACCGACACACGATCTACACACCTGACCACATGTGTCCATTTTTCGTTTCGGATAGCTTTGCAATTGTATTGGTCCAAGTAACTGCTGGTTGGTGCAACATACCTAGGATTTTTGAGACTTCGACAGAGACGAATAACGACACGTGAGTGGAACAGCAGGATCTACAGAAAATATATTTCATTGCTATCCCTGAGTTCTTGGCGTTACTTGTGTAACTGTCGCAGTTAGGGTGGCTGTGGATGTCCTAGCGGTAAAATGGAATTGTTGATCTATTCGCAGCTGTCATGTCGCCTCTCCTGCATGCAGTTTTATTCACTTAATCTACTTTATTAATTTCACCAATCCACTTTCCTGTGTGCGCTGTATGCACTTCAAAACCCCCCAAATCGTGCAATCCGACTTTTTTGTGAAATCGGACCCCCGTATGTGATCCAGAATGCATGAGCAATTACCGCATGAGATCATGAGATTATTTCAACCTATTTGCTTTTTCTGGGGTGGATAGAATGATGTACGGTGTTAGCATATCTATTAGCATATCTGTTAGCGGATACATGATATCTACAAATGGTTCCACCCCCGGCCTGGGTATCATGTATGCAGTATTGTGGCCTTCTGAAAGTGACCACGTGTTGAAGATACTTAACATCTCCGTACGATTCCTCCATGCAGCCCACTCAGTCAACGCAGCCAGTTTAAGAACGCATAGCCTATTGCGTGCCGGGCTGAGAAACATTTCTGCTAAATTTGGATGACAGACCCGGCTAAGAATATTTCCTTCTTGTTCTTACTTCCAGGTGTAACCTGCCATCGTAATGTTTAGGCATACCGAGATTTTACAGAAATTTCACGATTCAGGCATTTTCTATTACTTCCGTGTCCATCCCGTCACTTGCATTTGGTGAAATCTTCTGCGCGCTAGGTCGCACTGAAAATATATTTGTTATGCATCTGATGTGCTAAACGTAAGCCAGAACCACATTCTAATATCGCGGTTTATTGCCGTGTGAGCGAACTAGCTCACACGGCAGTGGAAAGCAAAGCTAGCAAAGCTAACTGTGAGCTAGCTTGATCGCCAACTGCTTGCGGACTGATATGTTTGAGAAACTGCGTCTCTAAGGCGTATCTCCTCCCCTCCTTGCACCATCACCGTATTTGGGATTGATGCGCTTATCTTATTTACTGCCAAGCGCTTCAGTGCGTGGATACGAATCCTGCATTCAAGACTGGTGCACAATAACATTAAGGCCGGTAGGACCCCACAGGAGAGAAGCCATCCGCAGCACTGGAACGGCAGAGCTACGTCCATCTCAATGATGATGATGATGATGATGATGATGATGATGATGATGATGATGATGATGATGATGATGATGATGATGATATTAAGGCTTAAGGCACGCCGACGGCCAAGGTCAGCTTGCACCCACAACGAGGCAAACTTCTGCCGTGGCGCGTACACAGCGGAAAATCCTACAGTCTTTAAGAAATAAAGAAGCCTCCCATGTGAATGACATTGGAGTCGTCGCCTAGGCATTCGCTCAAGTTCAGAGTTTCCTCAGGCCGTCTAAATTGGCGCATGCGCTCGTCGCCAAAATAGGGACCCAAAAGTGATATATGGCGCGCGTTTCGGACGCGTGCCCAAAGCCCTTGACACACTGAGCAGTATGCACTGAATGACCCTGTGACTGTTAGCATGCCACCCGTCCTGCCCGCTCCAGCGTCTCCCGAATGAGAAGTGCCAACAAGCGGAGGCGCACACCGCTGCCGCCGATGAACGCGGGCTGGTGTGAGCAGTGGCGCACACAGGTGCGTAGTATGTGGGGGTCACCGAAGGCGCTGTCCGTTCCAATTGACACGATGAAAAGCCGCGAACAGTTTTCATTGGAGCATTCCGAATTTTATCACAAGCCGCGGCGCCATGCAAGTGTCCCCATCCAAGAAGACTGAGCACGCTATTGTGCGCACGTTCTCCCATTCTTCGCGAGGCACCAGCGCTCTGCCAGGCGACGCCGGGCTCTAATTGGCTGGCGTTTGCTCGCGGTGGTCCGTGCCGTCTGTGTTTGCACGCGCATTTACCAATCAATTTCGAGGCCGTCTTTGATACCGGTGTTGCGATGTTATGTCCCAAACCATTGTTCATACCGACGCACTCATTCGCCAGGCTCATTTGCGGGCGAGTGTAGATGTGGAGTTTTTTGTAATCAATAGGAGTGCAAGGGCGAGCGGACTTTGTCTAACCTATTTTCACGCACCCATGAACTCACTGGTCTCCTGTCACAAGCTGCATCTGTTAGGGAATCACTAGACATTCCGTCGGTAACCTGCAATCCAGCATGGCCTGCATCACAGAACGAGAACCAATCATAATGCATGAGGCATGCGTAACCATACATGCTGTGGCCTTTGTCATGTATTTGGGAACCAAAGAAGAAGCTATCATCTGTCAAGGCCTCCAGTTCGATGACACGGGCGATAGCCTGTCCGAGATGTCCAAAAAAAGGCGTTGCTGCAGGAGGAAGTTTCGTACTCAGCTGGGGGCTTCAGATTTCTTCCCAACTTTGGAGCTTCTTCCATCTTTGAGAAGAAAGTGGGCCAAATCCGGGGGCATCTGTTTATTCACGTGTGTGGGGGTACGTTTCACCATTTTCCGCTGTTTTCCAACCCCCCCCCCCCGAACTCATATACCGAAACTATGCCCCTCGGTGACTTCCATTCATGAGGAAACACTGGGTCTGCGTAACTGTTCCATACCGATTAAATATGGAATCATTCTCCCTTTTCATAGGCGCCAATGAAAATTTGGACAGAATACGATAGTCCAAGCGAACGATGG